ACACTGGCTCCCATCTTTCCATAATTCCTGTCACTCTCGTGTTAGAACTGTCAGTCAGAGGCAAAATGCCAGAAATAAAAAAAAAAGTGCAGAATGTCAGAAGGGAGCCGTCAAAGAATGTCAAAAAGCAAAAGCGTCGTATTTTGACCCCCAGTAAGATTCGAGTGTTTTCTGTTTGGATGCGCGACTGTGTGCTGAGTGGCTGATACACATAAGCTTACAGCAGTCGTGTCTGAACGTCAATAATATTAATTTATCTCACCATTTGGCCTGTCACAAGGCTTTTACTGAAGCTAAAAATCATAAACACATTTACACTTTAATCAATATCATAAAAAATATGGTGCGGCAATGAGTGTTCCTTTTCTCCTGAGACATGGGTGCCAAACACGTTAATACAACTTGAACATAATTTATGGGCTGAGAGGCGCCACTACAGCACTTGAACTGTTATACATCCCTCAATTGATTGAATAGGCTCGGAAGAAAAAGAACATTTCCTGCAATGCTTATAATGAGATGCCCTGCGCGGCGAATGATAATGTGTCCCAAAAAGGATGGCTAATGGCTGAAGTGATGAAGGAGAAGAGGATCAAAAACTGCGATGGCCCGGCCTACGTACCGCGTATGCTGCTTAAGGAAGAGACATAAATTTAAAGTGAGCTTTCTGAGGGAAGTTCAAGCCAAAATACAAACAGCGTGCAAAAATATGACTCAGGTGTTGTTTCTTGAAAGACCAATAAAAGGTAAAGTCAGGACAAAAGTTTACACACACGAGTAAAGACCGTAATGTCTGGACTGTAAGCCGCTACTTTTCTCACACGCTTTGAACGCTGCGGCTTCAACAATGAATGATGGATTTTTATGACTTGTACGAATTTGCCTCGAGGCGTAACTGACATTGAGAGAGACTGAGGAAGTGTGTGACGAAGGAATTCTGAGGCTGGTCAACGCTGACACTGAAGAAGACGACTTTAGTGGTTTTAGTGCAGGAGGAAGATGAAGATAGCGATCAGTGACTTTTCCTGGTAGGCTG